CCGCGTCGCCGCACTTACCCGGGCCGCGGGAGGTGGCCGGCCGCCGGCGGGTCCTGCAGCGCCGCAATCCGCCGCCCGTGGGGCTGCCAAATGTAAACACTCCGCCATGATTTCTTTGTTTAGATAATTGAACCTGCCTCCCTCTCCCTCTCTGCCTCCCTCTCCCTTTCTCTCCCGGTCTCTCTCTCTCTTTTATTTATTTATTTCCAACCCGCCCCCCCAACCCCGTCTGCATCACCAGGATGGTTTTCTTGGGAAGGTGGTTAGCTGGTAGCTGCTTTGCACAAGGGTTGCAGGCTGCTGGTTTCTTGGGGGTGGGGGAGGGGAGTTGTTGGGGTTTTGAAATAATAATAATGATAATGCAAGTTCATTTCCCCCTCCCCTTCCCAGTACAACAGCTCCCATGTCTTCTAGAGGCACAGGGAGTGGGGGAAGGGTGGGGGTGACTACATGACAAGGTAGCTTCCACTCATATCCCCTCTGCTCAGCCCCTTCTTCCTTCCCCTTGCACTTCTGCTTCCCCTCCCTCTCTAGGAGCATCTGGTACCCACAGCCAAGTTTGCCATGGTGTTTCCTTTCCCTCCCCAGCAGTATTTGCCAAGTTTGCCAGGGTGCTGCCTTTTCAGCCCCAGAGCAGTCCCCACATTCTGCCTGGTGGCTTCATGGAGTCCCCACTCAGGCATCCCCCCTGTCCCTGGGTAGCCTGGTGCCTGGGCTTGACACTGAGACCTTCATCCCTTTCTTTCCCTCTTGGAAAACACAGGAGACCACACACACATTATGCAGGCCAGGCATCCAGGAGGCATGGGATGAAGATAGATAGGTTTCAGTTTCGTAGGGCTTGGCCCCAGATGTTCAACAGACCTTTAACAGAGGTTTAAGCGGATGTTGGGTTTGCTTTGGTTGGAAGGGAATGGAGAGTGCCCTGGGACAAAACTTTTTGTTGCAGAAGCTGTTGGGGAAGCATTGCCCATTTAGTGAAGAGAGGCATTCTTCACTGGAGAGCTGCCTTCTTGTCAAGGTTTCCCTGCATTAGATGCTGCCCGTAGTGCTTTGCTGTTAAATCTAAAGATCTAAATTCTAAAATCTTGGCATTTGAAGATTGTAAGGCACTTTGCAAGTATTGGTAGGTAAGTGAACCTGACTGTACTTTTTTTTATTATTATTCCGATTTTACTGAAAGGGAGCCCAAACCTGTCACTAGGAGGTGAGAGTCCTATGCAGAGAGCTTTGAGGGAAGCAGAGGCACTGAGAGGATTTGGTGCCCAGTACTTTCTGGGAGTCCACTGACGTTGCTTAGACTTGGAGCATCTCATGGGAGGCATTCATCCTTCAGGACTTGAAGTGACTTACCTAGCTTCATACAAGAAATGTGTGGAAAAGCTAGGAGCAGTCTTTACAGATCCTGGCTCATTGCCCTGCTTAGCCATATATCTGCCTTTCCTTCCTACCAAGATTAAAACATGGACTTTTTTACCACCTGCTTCCCTCACCTATGGTTTGACCCAATTTCCATTAACTCCTGCAGGTACCAGAAGGCCCACAGTGAGGTACTGTAGAAGTATAAAATACTGCAAGACAGCAGATTAGAGATGTGCCTTATAGACTCACTGAATCAGAAAAGCACAAGAGTTGCATGTACTGTAGGGGGCAAAGAGAACTGGTTACAAAATAAAAACAGCAAGGAAGCTGAAATTACATATATAAGAAGATAGTTATTAGTTATATGATTTTTTGAAACCAAAAATGCTTACTGGCAGTATGCATTTATCTCAGTTACCCAACAAGCTTGCCAATATATTTTGCATTGAAATTTAGACAAATAATGGTCGCCACTAATGGTATCCTATAGGTATTAGCACTGTTTTAGGAACTAAAGCTTTGTCTTGGGCTTTACTGTATTTAAACTGTTTTACTAGGATATGATATAGGCTGTATTTTGCAAAGGCATCCAGCCATGTGATCCCTCAAACCTACACAGAATTCCAGTGATCCCATTGCAGAATTCAGCCATCAACACCAGGAAGCATTCCTGTCTTAAACTCTATGTATGGGGGTCGCTGAGGGCATAGACATAGAAGTGACCAGAATATCTATTATGCTTATGTGGAATGTGTCTAGGAAATCAGAAGTTTGTATTTTCAAATTATCAACCACTGGACAGTTAATTCTCAGTCATTTTACTGGGGTTCAGTCTGCACAGCAATCCCCATAGGCAGTCAGTATGGTTACTTCTGAAAAACCACAACTGTAGGACCACTCCTACTAGCCTGTTGCCTGACGCTCACAAACACTGCTGTTTACCTTCACAGTGACCCTTCCATGCAGTAGTAGTGTTCAAATGATGTAGCCATGAGGATTCCAGAAATTATGCAAAAGGCAAGGATTTCTTGGGGTGATATCTTTTATTGGATCAACCCCAGTAAGTGAATGATGTCTTCCGTTGATAAGCTTATTTAACCCTATCCCAACTATGCAGTTGGTCCAATAAAGGATATTACTCCAAGAAATCCTTGCCCCTACCATCCTATGCATCCTTGCCTTTTCAGTACCTTACTATCTGAAAGACTAAATGTCCCTACCTACTCCCAATAAATAACGTTCTTAAATTAAATCATCCATGTAGCAAATGTTCTTAAATCATACTCTCCAGTTTCCTCCTCCTCTTCTTCTCTTCTCTTTTTCCTCTTAACTGCAGTCCTATGTGCTTAAGATTATATCTTTCTTTAGTTTTATATTCTCAAAACACAGATCATTTCTGCCAGCTGTTTCATAATCTCCTTCTTGTGGAGTTTATAAATGTGGCCATTTAAATTCATTTCAGACTAGAACTTGGCATAAAAGTTCACAGTTTATGAGCCAAATTTGAATTGCTACATTTCATTTAAATTCAGGTCTCCAACGTTATTTTAAAAATTTGAATATGTGCAGGAAGACTTCTGCCATTTTTTCCAGTGGTGGCATCATGCTGACCCAATGTCAACTTTACATCCCTATGTCCATTCTTTCACCTAACAAGAAAGCTTGATTTTCCAATATGGAGGTGTGCCACAGAAGATATAACTTTGGAGTTATGTCTTGCTGTATTTTAAAAACTAATAATTATAATATTAAACTCTTTGAGCAATCACTCTTGAAAACCATGGCATTGTGCATGCACATACACATAATGTTTTTTCATAACAGGAGTCTTGCTGGTTGGAGAGCAAAAGCAGTTACTGTGCTGTCTTCAATAGGACAAAGTGCCTTAGTACTCTTTGAAGAATTACTTTTTGTCAAAAATACTGTTGGTCTATTATTAACTATGCATGTTGTGCTATTTTGGTCATAGTAGCTGCAAGGAACAGAAAGGGAAGAATAGATTATATTAGATTAGATGACATATTTTCTATTCTGCTTTTTCTGTGCACCAATTTAAAAACAAAATCCACTGGGCTTTTTCTACCTGAACTCCAACAGTCACAGTTCATAAGTCCAGTTAAGTACTATTTCTTTAAAGTTAAAAGGAGACACAGATGTTATTGTTCCTGACTACATGATTGTACAGAACCCAATTTGATGGATCATGTTATGGGTCTCTAGGAATTAAAAGAAGAATTTGTAAAGTGGATCCCTGTAGCAGGGCACTAAAGTGCCTGCTACTTGTAGAGCAGGAATAAGCACTCGGGTGCCAGTTGCTAGGGCAACCGGAGGGAGCCAGTGACCCACACCTGCTAGTGGTCAGCTGACCAGAAGGGGCAGGGCCCAGCTCCCATTTAAACCCCGGGACTGAGTCCAGGCAGGTAGTTCCCTGCTGGCAGTCAGAGGGGAAGGAGTTCTACTAGACTGAGCTAAGAGGAGAAGCTGGACTGCAGGTACAGCCTGAGATTGGGGAAAGATAGAGCAACCCTGGTGTGGCAGGAAGAATGATGTTGTAGCCGATTGGCAGAGATTTATGTTATAGCCTAGGGGCCTGAGTTTTCCGTTTGCTGTTCACTACCGGTGGTTTGGGTGAGGCTATTGGGGGTTGGAGGATGCCTCATAGGGGACCCATGGTAGTGTGGGGACCCCGGCACCAGAGATGGTGCAGCATTTGGGGTGTACTGACCCCAGCCCCAGAGAAGGGGTGTGAAGAGTTAGAGGCCAGGTAAGGCTGAGGCCACCTGAGCCTGGTGAGGGTTTGAGACCCCAAGGAAAGGAGATGGGGCCAGGCATGGCTGCGGCCACCTGAGCTCCAAGGCCGTGGAAAGCGAGATGCCCCAGAGCAGAGAGGGGGCAGCTAGAAGCTGGGGAGCTCTGGTGCGCCCATGGTGCAGCGTTATTCTCGGGCTCATGGTCATCCCCTGGTTTAGGGCTTGCAGCCCACCAGTGGTGGGGTTAGTGCCCTGGCCCTCTGGACCAGCCTCCAGATTGGAGGAGGAAAAGGGGCCAGGGCCCCAAGACAATGGAAAAGGCTAGAGCCTTGAAGTCAAACCCTGTTTAGTGGGTTTAGATGGGGAGGCCTAGCTAGAGAAAAATCAGGGGTCAGTCTCACATAGGGGAATGGCTCCAACATATCCAATACAATAGGCAGCCTCCCGCTCACAAGAACATCATTCTAAGTTCCATCAAGACATGGCAGGAAAGTATAGGACAGGACATAAGAATCCCAAAGAAGTAACCAAGGGTGCCCACACAAGGCGCAGAGTACTAGGAAGATGGCGCTGGGAGGGGCGACCTGTTACAATCCATTAATTATAATGGAACCTATAGTAAATCCTCTGGTAAGTTGGTGTCAACCAGTTGAAGATGATCAGTGTGCGCAAAGACACTGGACCTGATTTTTCTACTGCCTTGCTTCTTCTCTAGTCATTTACATTTACATCTGTGCAAAGTAGTATAGAAATTACACCTGCTCAAACTGATAGGATTTATTCTCATCTGGTATAGGTATAAATTATTCCATACTTCACATGTAATACTTATATTGTAGTAGCACCCACACACATGGCACAATCAGCTTTGACCCACAGTGAAAGCTACTGTTCAAGATGTGTAAAAATGACAGCTCCTGTCACCAGGGAATTTGGGATCCAGAAAAATAGATGCACTAACTGGATGAATAAATAAAAGA